TAGCTTTAATGAATAAAGAGCTAGAATAAAAGAATCCCCCCAAATAGTAAAGTGCCAAAAGTAAAAGGATTTGAAGGTGAGCTCAGAGTTTGCCTTGGAAAACTCCCCAAGTGAAGAACAGTAAAGTTGAAGAACTGCTCAGTGTCTTTAGTATCTGCCTTGTCTCATTTCTCTGAACTGTGTGATATAGTTTACTGAACACTGATTTAATAATCAAAAATCTTAATTATGGATTGGTACTTAACTATTTTCTCTGTCAATCTGTGCACTGACTTTATTCATTATTGGCACAGAGCCCAAGTAACTATCTGAAATCCTTATTTGCCATTCTTTTATTATTATTCCTTAGTTCTGAAGGTGTCTTTATTTTGTTACTTTTACTGATTGAAGTCCCGTGGTCCCGTTAGGATAATATGGAGTATTTAAATCTAGAACAGTAAAATCTTTTTTTTTTTTTTAATAGAAAAAGAACAGGTGGTTAGAGTGACAGGAAATCTCAAAATAGAGGCCCTTGTTTTTTTTACTCTTAAGAGCTCAGAAACTTTGTATTTTTCAGTGGTATAAATATTAGTCATGAAGATGAGTATACAAAATGGGAAGCTTGGTCAGGAGTGGTTATTCCTCTCAATAAGGTAGTTCAGACCATCATTCCCTGTGAGCTGGTAGACATCTTTCACCTCAGCCTGGGACAGGAAGAACTACATAGAGCTGTGAAATGATAAAAACCATTGAGGTTTGAGGGTGTGACTGGAAAGTCTGAAGGTGTGATCATAAGCAGTGTGCAAAGCTTCTGGCTAACTGTATCACCAGAAAGGAATGAGTAAAATATGTGGTTTCCCAAATTTAAAAAAAAAAAAAACAAAAAACAAAACCCAAAAGCTTTTGCAGCAAAGCAGCCAGAAAATAAATGAATACATATTCATGTTTATATGTATATGTTTTATGCAAAAGTGAATTTGAAAGACAAAGTTCTAGAGCTTTCAAAACATTCTTCCAATTTTTCATCTTTGTTTTATTAATTTTGTTATAATACAGCTTAGTACTTCCAGTTTTGTGCTGCTTTGATCAAAGAGTCATGTTAGGAGTTTTAATCAGTTCTCTCTGAAGTTACTTCAAAAGTTAATTGTCTTCTCATTAAAAAAAAAAAATTGCGTTTTTCAGAAATTTAGAGCTTAGTAAGAAAAAGTTTAGAGGAGCGTTACACAATGTAGCTTTCTAATCACTTGTATCATTCTGTTCTAAAACTGAAAAAAATCTAGATTTTATGGTCATTTACTCAACATTTTTCTCATTGCTCATCAAGCACACTGGTAGGCATCATGCCTCTTATTTGTGCTGCTGTTACAATAGTGAATAAGAAAGATATGTTACTCACCTTTGTGGACTTAATGTTAGAAGAGGCAATATGTAAGAAGTATAAGAAAAAGTGCTTTGACTTCTTTAGCCTCCATCCTGAGGACTCTCCACCCATCACTGGCTATGTGGATGTAAATTAAAATGGGCAAAAAACCTTAATGTCACCAATATCTTCATGGGGCAATATAATGTAAATTTTCTGATCTGAAGCCATAGAATGGTTTTTCTAAAGCAGTAGTGATATACTGCTGTATGTTTTACAGTTCCTAAATTATGTGCTGTCCTTACTTTGTTCTTCCAAATACTTGCATTCCAGGTTTGATGTGGTTAGATAAAGAGTGTGCATTGGTTTATTTTATGTTACTATAGCAGAACACCTGGGAGTGGGTAAGAATTTTATTCTGGCTCACGGATTTGGAGGCTGGAAAATTTAAGATCAGGTGGTCTCATCTGGTAAGGGCCTCATGATGTTTCAACTCATGGCAGAAAGTGAGGACAATTGGAGTGCATGGAAGACAGAACACCAGGAGTGAACTTGTTTTCAAACAACCTGCTGTGACAGTAACTAGTCTTGCCAATGAGAGAGGCATGAATTATTCATGAGGCTCCATCCCATAACCCAAACACCTCCCACTGCTTTCTACATTCCAATACTAATGTGTTGGGGTCCAAGTTTCAACATGAGTTTTCGTGGGGACAAACCATATTCGAACCACAGCAGTCTATTAGCATTTCTGGGTTGCAGTGCTGGTATTTCCACTTTCTAGAAATTAGGAGAGGAAACCAACCAACCAAACAAAAAATCCCATCTTTTTTTGAAGTCCAAGAAATCTCATCTGCAGTACTAATTTCATTTTATTCTTCCAAGGCTATGAAATGGCAAAACTCATATAAAAAATGAACAAACTGAGTTTTGCAGATTCAGTGATTTATTCAAATTTTTATGACTAGGAAGAATTTGAATCTTGGAATCCAAGTAATAATAATATTTAGAATTCAGTGAGCACCTTCTGTATATATACTAGGTTATGGTCAAGCACTTTACTTATATGCCTTAATTCTGACAGCAACCTTGGAGGGCAAATATTACTACCATTTTACTGTGTTGAATCTGAGGCCTAGAGAGCTAAGAGACTTGAACTAAGAGAACTAGAGAACACGAGAGCTAGAACTGATATTCAAACACATTTTCCTGATT